TATTAGAAACACGTACCGAATTAGGTACTGGCACATTCGAGCGCCCCACTTCAAACTTAAGGCGAAAGGGAAGTCGCAGATGCCGTTATTTGGTTGTAGTGTTCGCGTTATTTGTGCACTTTATCCGTAACGATTTTCCGAACCTCCGTGCTTTTGGACTTAAAAATTTTGAACGGTACCGCATTTTGAATGTTAAGGGAGACTGAAATGTGGGCGGCATTGCAGTACTGGGTTTAGTGAGGGTTGTTATGGTAGTCCACCTGCCTGTCGAAAGTCATAAACCTTTCTTTAGAGATCATCAACCATTCTGTGAAGTTTATCAACCTTTCTGCAAAGGTCATCAACCTTTCTGTAAAGGTCATCAACCTTTCTGATCAACCTTTTCTAAAGGTCATCAACCTTTCGGCAAAGGTCATCAGCTTTTCTGTAAAGGCCATCCACTTTTCTTCAAAGATCATGAGCCTTCACAAAGGATAAATCAGCCTTTTTTTGTAAAGGTCGTTTTTGTTCATTCGTTTTGGAAGATCGCACTATATGAAGCCTCACATAAAACTGATTTGCTGTCAGAGGTATCAGTCGATAGCGATAGCGAAATAATTAGAAGTTCTCCCTGAAAACCCATCAAGATATTACTAATATCTTATTACACCAGATCTTGATTACAGTTATATATTGAAAAGTAGAGTGACACTGAAGTCACCCCTAACACCTCGTTTTTATAGCCCCCTTTTCCGCACCCCGTTAATTATAGGCACCCCGTTTCAAGGTAATTAATTAAGCCTTCTTACACCCTATTTTTATAGACAATAATGTTATGGGAATTTTTGCGTAACTTAATTACAGCCCTGCCGGGCCAAGTTGGGACAGTTATAAAAATTCCTTTTTTTTACCAAGGAAGTCTAAAATTTTTATTTAAATGTTTCAAGATAGCTTTTGGTTTGTAGCACCTTTCAGATTTTTATTTTGATGCAAAACGCTGAAGTACAGGGAACGCGGGCTAATTGTTTAATTCATGTTTTAATGCAAAAATCGCACTGGTTACTGAAACAAAATCAAGCTCATTCGAAAATAATTTTAAAATTTGAGAAGATTAGAAACCATCAACTAATAGCGTGGTTTTTTAACGGTCCCTTCCCACATTTTATCTAAACACTAACGTTCTGCCTAATGCTATGCGGGTTCCAGGCAACAGCATTTCTCTGTTGGTGTGCTCTTTAACATACAAGTCTATGGAAGATGCACCTTCCTTCGAGGTGATCTCGAGCACTGGTCGGGTCAGAATTTTCTGGTGACCTATAAAAGACACCTTATGGGTCACGCAATAGTTCTAGAAAGCGTAAACGCAGAAACATCAATTGGCGCATATCTTAGAGCTGCAGTTATAAGCGGCCGAAAAATGACCACCACCACGCCCACTTAATTGCCCTCTCGGTCGTTACTGCCGTATTGATCGACAACAGCTCTACCACTACTGGATTCGCAATTAAAAAGCTACGTTAGGAGAGTTCAAATATAGAAACAAAGTGCCTTTTGGGAATTTATTTTACGCAATTGTCCCAACTTGGCCCGGCGCCCCTGTAGATTAGGAAGCAGTGCTCGCTGTGCTATCCAACACTTCATGCGAGTGTCCAACAGCCTAAACAGTGACCGTCCTCACGTCCTTCCCCAGTTATCCATGCTATATGGAGGTGAAGTTGAAGAAAAAACTGTACGATTTTCTGCAGTCTTAGTTGCAGTCAGCTGCATCCAATCAGTGCGGTTCCCTGGTGGGCTCATGCATCCTCAGAGTGACTGAGGGGATCGCCGTGGATGAGACAGTTCATGGTTTGGCGTTATCAGATAAATTATGGGAAATTAAAAAAAAGGAGTGCGTATAGAACAACAATGGGTTTTGTTTAATTAATAGCAGAAATAAGTGGTTATAAAAACGGAGGTGAAAAGGGGTGGCTACAGTGATTTCCCTAAAAATGTGTGCATGCGCAACTACATATTTGCATGCAGAAGTTGGACTGGCCATTGGTGGATGGTGGATGTTCAATGAAACTGCATCCGCCCATCTGCTGAGCCAAGTCATCGGTGTCGATTGATCTAACAATGACACTATTGAGTGCATTCAAGCCCATTGTGAGAGTCAATACAAGTCGTCACTTATTAGGCAAAAATGTGGATGAAGGCTGCAGCTATGGATATACATTATTATTATCACTCTTCCTGCATGTTTTCCAACTTTATCACCTTCCCAATGAATTTTTCATTTGAATTGAGAAATTTTAACTGAAACTGAGGTAGATGATAGGGTGCCAGGTTTCCAGCTACGCTGCCAAATGCCAACCACCGTAGCTGTCCAGCTGGCTGTTTCACAGACCCATGCGTCGAACTCCAGCTTTTTTCTCTCGTTCAAATCTCGGTCAAAACCTCACGATCAACATTCCAAAAGGTACAAAATGCTTTCAGATATTTTTTATTGCCCAACAGGTTGCTACTGGGACCGTATAACGTAAATCAGAGCAATTTTAGCACAAGAAAACACTTTGGGTAATACGCAAAAAGTTTGTTATAAGTATTCGAAAAATTACTCTTATTTACGTTTTTCGCCTCAAGAAGCAATTTATTCGGTACCAAAAAGCTTCTGAGCGTTTTTTCTGCCTGTTGCAATGTTGATCGTGAGGTTTAACCAAGATGTATACAAGAGAAAAAGGCTGGAGGTGCACGCATGAGTCCATGGAGAGAGCCCGCTAATGGGCAAAGTCGGGCACTTCAACAGCAATATGCCTGTTCCGCTTCTCCTATACCTCTAGGGTTATGTTAAAATTTTTAAAATGAACGAGTTAATGGGAAGATAAAAAACGTCGGATGGTATGCAGGCAGATTGGTAAATGTATATGCATATCTGCATCCACCTTTTTGCCGAAGCAATGACGGTGTGCATTGACACTCACAAAAGGCTTGAATGCACCCAATGGTGTCATTGTTAGATCAATCGACACCGACATGTTGGCTCAGCAGATGGGTGGATGCGATTTCACTAAACATCCATTATTCAGCAATCCACCTTTCTGTCGGTTACGCTTGCAAGTATTTGTAAATGTAACTGTAATACAGATAAGCTGTATTTACTGTAATAAGATACCAGTAATATCTTAATGGCTTTTCAGGGGGAGATCGCAGTCGACCTTTAATATAGCTATTTCGATATCGCTATCGACTGAACCAAATCAGTTTTTTGTGGTTTTCATATATTGCGTCTGGCTGATAACCTTTACAAATAAAGGTTGATAACCTTTGCAGAAAGGTTGATGACCTTTGAAGAAAGGTGGATGACCTTTTCAGAAAGGTTGATGACCTTTGCAGAAAGGTTGATGACCTTTGCAGAAAGGTTGATAAACTTCACAGAATGGTTGATGATATCTAAAGAAAGGTTTATGACTTTCGACAGGCAGGTGGACTACCATAACAACCCTCACTAAACCCAGTACTGCAATGCCGCCCACATTTCAGTCTCCCTTAACATTCAAAATGCGGTACCGTTCAAAATTTTTAAGTCCAAAAGCACGGAGGTTCGGAAAATCGTTACGGATAAAGTGCACAAATAACGCGAACACTACAACCAAATAACGGCATCTGCGACTTCCTTTCGCCTTAAGTTTGAAGTGGGGCGCTCGAATGTGCCAGTACCTAATTCGGTACGTGTTTCTAATAAGTGCAGCTGAACATTTAGCAAAGGACAGTCCTTGCAGTATGGCTGCGGCCACTCTGAACGCATACTACTATTTTGACGCAAAGTGATTCATATGATCGCAACGTCTCCAAAAGCACACCGTTGCGCCATTTTCAAATCAATGGATACCGAGAAAGAAATTCTGAGAAATAAAAATTTAAGGTTGAGACAGCTTAGGCAGACTAAGAGTAAGCCGAAAGATTAAATTAATAAATATTAAGTTGGGCAGCTATGAGGATAATCTTCGCCAAAAAGGTGGAAAACCTTTTGCAGAAAGGTAGATAACCTTTAGAAAAGGTTGATCAGAAAGGTTGATGACCTTTAGAAAAGGTTGATCAGAAAGGTTGATGACCTTTAGAGAAAGGTTGATGACCTTCATTGATCGTCAACCATCAACCCGTCAACCTTCCTGCCGGCTACATGCGCTCGCAGCACGACGCGAATTCGCGGTATAATCTGCTGATGTCACGTAGGCAGTCATCCAAAGTACCCTCGAGCGCCGTGGCCAACCAGTGTCGGGACAGGATTAGTCGCGGGATGCGTACCCCGGCATCTTTCAGAATGGGCTTAATATACCCCAGAGCCCATCCGGCTTATGTCACTCTTTCCGGATAGGTGTGACATCGTCTACCTTTATCCCAATAGACGTCCTCCAACGTTATGGTCCGTGTTGCCCGGCTGATGTGCTTGAAGATGCAACTGTACAGTGTACACCGCGTAACCATGCCATCAAAACTCGTTTGTGCGCATCAGTTCACCACTCCGCTTTCCAGACTGCAACGGGTGACAGCGCGTTCGGTTCATGGTGTTCAGACAGAAACACTTCCTCCAGCAACAAACTCGGCAACGGTAGACCGATTGCCAGGGTGTGGTCCTTACCATTGCCGCTGTTTATTTTTCATTAGTGCGTTGCTCGGTTTATGTTAGGTAATTCAGAGTGTAATTGTTTTTGCAGTTCTTAGGTTACTCGAGTAGATATTACTTTCTTGCAGGTGGCTGTGTGAGCATGTCCTTGAGGAATGGACAGTATTAGTGACGAATTTAAGGGGGGAGGGGGGATTTCCGCTTGTTTACAGCGACTTAGCAAGCCGAAGAGGTTAGGCCAATAGACAGTGCTATCGTTTGAATCATGCACTAATACGGTTCGACCCAGTAGATCCTGATATGCGCACAAGATACGGGGCTGTTAGCTGTAGGCTTGTAGCTGATAGAAATCATCATGGTTGCTGAAGTAAGCTTGTTATAAGCACGGCAGCGGGACTGAAGAGTTTAAACAGAACTTCCAACCAAAAACGCCACAGTTTTTGTGGACGGTTTTCAGAAATTTCGTTCAAATGTATCATTTGGCTGTAGTAATCTGTCTTATTCTTGCGCCACGCTTGTCGGCATACTGGGACGCGCGAGATTACCTTGATGAGGTGGAAGATGATTTCCTTCCCGACGGTAAACAGGAACCTGCTCTGCTGATTTGCATTTATTTGAAATACAAAGAGCTACATAACAATTTGCCTGTAGACTGGAACAGCGAAGCGCCACTGCATGAGCTTTTGTCGGAGCGGAGCACTATAAATGTACTGCAGGACGATATTATGTATGCTAGCGCCATTTACGACAGTCCCGCAATCTATCAAGCCAATCATGCCCATGCATCGGTTGTTAACGGTAGGACGCTGATGGTTTAGTCGTATAGTACTGCGCCACGATCTTTTAGAGCCTTTACTCGATAAATACGATGACTACTCGGGTAAGTATTAGTAAACTGATATGCGGTATATTATGTAGAACACTCGTACTAACTGATTCGTTACACTGGCAGGTGGTTGATCATCATAATTTTTTTTAATAAAATCTCGTGGGACGTATATTAGGATACTGCCTTCTATCACCGGTGGAAAGGTGAGCGAGTTAGTGGTTGATGGTCGAAGGGCACGCACCAGCCTGTCAGCGATACTGTCGGTGTAGTCACAACGGTCAAGGCGAATCTCGACGTGTAGGGTGAAACAAGTTCTTCAATGTCAGAATGTTGAATGTCAAGTTGTAAAATCAAGAAAGGAGCTCAAATCCAAAACGAAATATATGCGAACGAATTATATCAGACTTGTGATGCTGCAGATACCCAAAGAGAAAGGATCACGTTCTGGTCGGGAGGACAAGTTCCGTACATAATCAGTTCCGCATTTGGTGAGTGTCTGCCTCAACATCATCCCGGCTAACAGTGAATTCCGGGAAAACACTATCAAAATTCTACTGACAGGTGCATCGAGCAGATTTCTCATTGAGGATGCCATGCGCAGGATTGAAGAAGCGACATTTGGCTGCATTAGCTTCGTCAAGAGAACTGTAGAGGACGACTTCGTATCTTTTCAGCAGGGCAACAAGTAAGCGTCATAATTAAAACCAATTATTTGTACATGTGAGATCTCGGCTAAACAACAAGAAATGCCAAGAAAGGGAGGTGAAGATTACTGCCGTCGATAAACCGTTAAGCAATATGTCTGCAGAGCGTTCAAGTTAGAAATTATATTACCAATATAATATACACTCATGATGTGTCATGTACTTGTGAACTATGACCATTGTCCTACTAACTAATCTATGACTGTACGGTGCACCCAGGTCACCAATCCCCTTGTTTATCAGATGTTTAGGTGCAGTAACTTACTAATATCGTGAATGTGCCGTGTGCTATATAAGCAACCTGCTTGTATAACATTGATGAACAGAACAACAACAGAACTGACAACAGTGTGTGCGACGCTTCCGGTTTCTGTTCCCGTGACTATAATAATATCATAATATAAATTCTAACAGTTCAGTAAGGAGAAAAGCCGGCTGTTATTCCACCTTGGCAGCGGTTTTCCCGACCAATGTGCCGGTTCCCAAAAAACGCATTATATATCGCGTATATATACATATTCGAAATTTACACTCGTTCTCGCATACAATTTGAAAAGGTTATACAACATGCACCAAGTTGCTGTAGCCGCTAGACCAGATTGCACCACAGAGTCTGGTGTACGAAAAAATGCTAGCTCGATATACACACTTTGCTCCGTGCAAAAATGTTTTCGATTTACAACCATTTCCACTTTGATACTACCGACATTTTCCTTTCTCACTGTTCTTGCCAGTTTTCTTTTTCTTAGCAGCGCAAGACAATCACATAAGAAGTATAGTAAGAGCGCAATGTCAGAGCTCTGATATTTTTCTACTGATGACGCCGGGTTGTTGTCTTTTCGATGTGCCCTTGGCAGAGGCTGGAGTAGGATATTTAAAGGCAAAGTGAGCGCCCCCGGTGGGAGGAAGGCTCGTGTTCAGTGCCCTCCAGGGGCAGGCAACGACCGGATCTAAAAGTGGTGCAATTTCGTCTAGCGGATACAGTATACCATTACTACAGGGTTTGCATTCAGGAAAACACACGCTGCGCACGTCCTTTGCCATGCGTTCGCATCACCGCATGCGAAGGCAGTGCACACATCACACGCCACATGCGCTGCCTAACCGCACACAAGCTCTGGGCACCGAGCCGCTAAAGTAACATCTCACATGTCCGCTCCTGCAGGGTATACTAGCCGTGCTTTTCATCTGACCCCTACTTGGCCAACGGTCAGAAATACGTCTTATATGTAATTGCGAACAGCATAACGACATAAATGTCCTCGCACAAATATATGTAAATGAAACAGTTGAAATTCGGCACAAACAAGAGCATGGAGAAACATATGTACAGCCATGCAATTGACAGCACTATCTACTGTCCATGGTCGCAAAATCCATGTTGGAGTAATCGCTGCGAAGAAAACACCACACAAATGGGAAGAGAAAAGTCTTCAGCAGACTGCATACAACAAACAGTGCCATGGACTGGGCTGTGTAGCCATTTTAAAAGGCCCGCGCCCAAGCTTTGACTCTGACTCAGACTCTGACCGCAAAAATTCTGACTCTGACTACTAAAAGTCTCACTCTGACTGGACAAAGTCTCAATCTGACCCTTCAAACTGAGACCATCAAAGTCTGACTCTAACAGCAATACTCTGACCACTAAAACTGAGGTTGAGATTGAGAATCTTAGGGTTCTTAGGTTTCTTAACCTAAGAAAACCTAAGAAACCTTAAAAACCTAAAAAGCTGAGAAACATAAGAAACCTAAGAAAAAACCTAAGAAACCTTCAGAATCATAGTCACACTTTGAGCGGTCAGAGTCAGACTTTGAGTAGTCAGAGTCAGACTATGAGTGGTCAGAAGCCGAGTCAGAGTTTAAGCCTGGGCCGTTTTCTGGAGCGTCTGCGTAGACTTTGAATCAGATTTCCGAAAAAGTATTTTTTCGTTCTTTTCGTTGTTGCACATTTGATACTTGCGTTAGCTGTGATGTCAAAACATTCGACTTGCAGCTGTTCATCCATTCTCGGAATGAATCGTGGCAGCCGGGGTGCAGGGCAGCCGCTTTTCTTGAGAGATGACGTGAACGCTTCCTGCATCGTGACGGGAATTGTGCAGCACGAAATTCTGCACGCGCTGGGAATGCTTCATGAGCACTCCCGACCGGACCGCGATGCTTACATTGAAATCAACCACAACGCGATAACGGAGGGTCACGAGGCCAACTTCCGCATTAAGCCAGAGGCGAAGACATACGGAATCGAATACGATCTGGAGTCCATAATGCACTACGGAGCCTTTGATTTCGCTAAGTCTCTCAATGTTCCGATTATCGTACCGCGGTTTGCCGGCTTCGAAATGTCGATGGGACAGCGAAAACGGCTGACTGTGCGCGATGCGGCTAAGCTGCGGTCTGCATACAAATGCCAGGTGGACTCCGGAAAGCCCGTGTCGACCAGACAAGAACCTCTACGGTTTGTCGGGACTCCCTTAACTCCCGAAGAGTGTGAGTTGCAGTTCAATGAGCACTGTGGACACTTTGCAATCGACAGGGTCGGCTGTAGGACGTCCCGGATGTTTTTCATCATTTGTATGTTGGAGGCCGATGCGGATTTTTTGTGGAACATGGCGTTAGCTATGGCCGAATATCCTTCCCGTGCAGTTGGAATCGTTTTGGCAGAACCGCAAATAACTCCCGAACCTTTCCGTCCCATTACTGAGCAAGTAACCGCATTGATTATGATGGCGTGCACAGTGCCGCAGGCAACATCGCGACTGCCGTCGCTTGGTTTCATCAACCTGAATAACTTCGATATGTTGGACTGCCGCAAGATGATTGTCAGGAAACAAGATTTTGCGCATTTTCCACAACTGAGGATAATCAGGTTCAGTAACACAACGCTGGTCCATTTGGAAAAGGACACATTTACTAACCTCGAGCAGCTGCGTCTTATTGCATGGCATGTTAAAATTCACGAATTCCCGTATTTTACTGCAGACATACAGAAGTTTTTGAATTATCTGCATTGCAGCTGTGAACTCGCATGGCTACGCCACTGGTGGGAGACGAGGAAAATCAAAATCATCAAAGTCTCTTCGAACGTCAGCAATGCCTGGTTGCCTTATTTTAACACAGATCTTCTCATTGCGGAGGTTTTTCTTCCTATTGATTGCGCAGCCGACCCATTTCCGTCTAATTTGAGCATGATAGATTTCACCCAGGTGAATTTCTCAATTAATGCGCCGTCGAGGTGTCAGCAAAATGAATCGAATGGTGTGGTCGATGATGCAGGCATTCTGCTCCCATCACGCTCTATACTTAACAGTCCAGCGTCGTGTTAACTTAACACGACGCTGGCTGAATGTCTCACCCAATTCAACAGGAAATGTTGGCCTGCTGAAAGCGCAGAAGGGGATGACCCCAGCGGCTATTGCTCTCATGCCGACCATCACATGCACAGTTTGACCATTCGCTGCCAGGCGGACATCACCAGCCGCGAACTGCAGGACATGACCTATAACTTGGCAAATTTTCGTCCAGTGGCGTGAAAATCATTCTGGCAGACGGTGATTATATTTCTTATCCGACATTCTCCATAATTCGAACACGAGCATACAGTCTCGGTATACGCAGATGCATGGATCGCCGCACCGTGGGCAAGCTTTCGGGACTGGAGTTTTCTAATCTGTTACATTTTATGCTGGAAAACTGCCACGCTTTGGCTATTAGCAAGAATGATTTTGCTGGAATGCCATATTTATACATGGTTCTCTTCTACAGATCCACACTGTCTTCTCTGGAGCGCGGGTCGTTTAGTTATTTACCTGGTTTAAGTATTTTGTCATTGGAAGCCGCACTGAGTGATGCTGTACACTGGTCGATTGGCACGCGTCAGTATCTCTGGCAGCTCCACTGTAGCTGCGAATACGAATGGTTTCGTTCATGGTGGACGTCCACACTCATCCCTAAACTGGAGTACATCTCTTCGATTCAATCAGTTTTGACCACAACAAACAGCGACACGCGGGATGGACAGATCAGAGAGTGCTATTCTACGTGGGGCATTCGAAACTCCTCACTGCATGGATTCTACATGCTGAAGCGCCCTGTACGCTCTGTGCTGCTCGAAGCCGCGACGACGGCGGACATTTTGATATGTTTTGAGAAAGAGAAATTATACATTCCGGTGGACTGCAGCGCTGAACCATTTGCTACTCGCCCCAAGGACATCAACTTTGCGCAGAAGAACTTTACCATTAATGGACCGGTTTGCATCAACGAGACGGCAACCGCTGCACCGGTCCTGCAAAAACGGGACCAGAATTATGACAGCATCACAAAGGCAGAACCAAAAATTCGCATTCGGGAAGGTACGCACTGCATTTCTTTTTTTGAAGCCTGGAAGGTATTATTGCGCAGTACTGCATAGGTCTTACTGCATAGGCATAGGGCATAGCGCTGATTTCCACACAGTTTATTAGCAACAAAGTCTTTCGCAACGGCGTTTTGCAACGTTGAAGTAATACGGTAACGGCAAAAACAGAGGTTTTCACGGTGGCAAAGCCAAAGATCAGGTAAAGTAAGCCGACCCGTCAAGTACCTGAGTATGTTTTGACTTGAAATTCTTTTTCGACTTGTCTCATTCTTGCAAACTGCTTTCTTGATTTGATTTCAAAATATATTTTTCTCTAAACCCTTTTCGGTTTTCCTTATCCTGGCCGAACTTCAGGTTAAAAGAATAAAAAGCTACAGGCTATTTTGAGGAATTTTGTTTTTGTTTAAGCCATCGAAAGTCAGCACTCTGACATGGACAACTATAATTTTTCTGGCGAAGCAGTCTGCTCGTAGTCTTCGAAACTCCAGTCAATCAATCAAAGTCAGGTACCAGTATAACCTGAAAAATTGGTAATTGGAGTCAACTACTTAACCAGTGGGAACTTTCGTATTTGGCGTAATCAGATAAAAGTCATAACTGCACAGATTGTTGAACGTTTAGATTTATCCTTCGACTTTACTCAAAAACCGGTCATTCTGCGATAATTGTCCTTTTGACAAACAAATCACCCACGTATTTCAATATGCTGAAGGTGCAAGTGCAAGAGTTTCAAAATGGACTATTCTTCGTAATCACCAGTGGTGACTCACCACTTCCATGTCACGTTTGCACATAAATATGCAAATCCCAAGTCCCGACCTGACAAACTCTCGCATGATGAAAACTGCCTGTTCCCATGATACGTCTTTGTGTGAAATCTGGCTGAAAGTGTTTTACCCGAGCGTTTTGTTCTCACTGGGTGACTAGTACGTTTGTAAATATACGTGCAAACGTCAGATGAAACTACGTAATATAGTTCGTTTTGAAATTTTAGTTACTATCAAGATATTGAAATACGTAGGTGATGATCCGCTGCCTAAAATATATTTAGTGTAGGTGAGTCAGAGCCAATAACATAGCTGCATATGTGCCATTGCATGCTCGATCTGACGAGCGCCGGCAATCTTAGTGAGTAAGTAAACAAAGTGCCCCGATTTTGCAGTAGCCGTTTATGGACAAACTGTGCACAGCGTCCTCTAGTGGAGGACAAATCCCGGCTGCGGTTTAAAGTGTTTTAAGGAGAGCTATGCTCTGCCGCCAGTGAGAAGCAGTCGGACGCTGCGCACTGCTCATACATATGTGCACAAACAGCTGCTCGAAAATCGGGGCACTTCATTTGCTTACTCATTTAGGGATTTGGCCCGGTACATAGCACTAAATCCGTGTACATTGACGGGAACTTTCGCTGTCGCGCACTCCCAAACACGTTTTTGCATTGCTTTATGGTATTTTTGTAGCCAAAAGTACTTGAAAATTTATTTTAAAATTCGAAAAAAATCGTAGAAGTCTGGATCCGTAACAAAACAATCTTCATGGTTATATGCATTTACCTGCAAAATTTGAAAGGGATCACGCCATAATGAGACTTTTGGTAAACCTGAATGCATTGAAACTTTTTGGAATTTTGTTACCCTCGTACCTCCGCAACCGGATGTTGCGCGCGCAAACAGATTTCACGACTACGTATACAATTCTTTGGGCTACAAAATGCTTTAAAGCAATGCAAAAAAGTGTTTGAAAGTGCGCGACAGCTGAAGTTCCCGTGGATGTACACGAATTGTATGTACCGGGCCAAATCCGTTAAGATGGCCGGCCATCATTTTTGACTGCTCGTTGAGCACGACGGCTACCACGTAGTAGTACTATTGAGTTGCGCTTAAGTTGATCCGTTGTAAAGAAAGTCGAAGTACGGCGGAAGGCTGCGCCCTTTCAGTTTTTCTCCTTTAGCGCCCTACGTTCACAAGAGCACTTTCAAAGAGCGCCGATCACAAATCCTTACTGTCGCACAAAACCGCCACGGAGGCAGGGATTTTCAGGATGACCAATGGCTAAACACGAGCGAGCTGGCTCACACTACTGGCCTGCTGCCTGTTCATCGCTTTTGGGAAAAAGGAATTGTTCCTTATTCAGTAAGCGAAAAATTTGGTGAGTTACACGTTCGACTGCTTGTCTGACTTATTCGGCAGATGCCTGGTAGCAGTTATTACACGATATCTTAGTGTGTGTTAATTATGTTTTAATCTCCAAATATCATTTCGTAGTAAAAAATTACCATATAAAACGTAATTCTTATTAATTCTTCTGCATGAGTTGGTTAGTAAAAGTAATTGTTTCGGCGGACTTCATTAAATTCCTTTTATTCTGACATTTAGACGATCGACCAGGACGACATCCAGCCAGATTTATTCAGGTTTATAGTATATAATCCGAGAAAAAATTATTTAGTTACAGTAATTTAAGACCCTCTGCACAAAACATTGCTGAAACAGACAACAGTCTTTCCAAAGTACTCGTATAGCATTTAATCTGTCTACTAAGAACAAGTACAATATATTGAATATGGTCGACCGCTAGGACGGATTTCAGAAAATTTCAAACTTTGATCAGACTAAAGAAAAACCATTTTCAAAGAGAATTGTGAAGCGTTTTTGTGATAAATGTTGTCTCATCTCGATTAAAATCAATCAAGGTAACTTCCGGTGTCGAAAACTTTGTTTTTTCGGGATAGGTTGAGTTTTGTCAAAAAAACGCTCCACAATACTTTAGTCATTTGAATCACCCAGAGCTTTGTGCTTCAGTAGAATTCTTTAGAATCTGCTACAATCGTTATTACTTCCGCAAAATATCGACTTTCAGTTAGCAACTTTTACACTTGAAAATAACTTAATCGAGTTTACACTTTAAAAACGTGTTGTGAAAATCTCATTGTGGTATGTCAAATGCGTACATAAAGTAGCACAAGCGCACGCATTGTGCCTGCGAGAAGAGTCCAAAGATGTCGAAATTGGTAGAATCTGTAGTTAACCGGTAGAATTGGTAAAATCTGTATATATATATATATATATATATATATATATATATATATATATATATATATATATATATATATATATATATATATATATATATATATATATATATATATATATATATATATATATATATATATATATATATATATATATATATATATATATATATATATATATATATATATATATATATATATATATATATATATATATATGCTTGCAATTGCAGACTGGCGAGACACCGGGATGATTCAACGCGCTTTACATGGAATTCACATCAAAACAGGGGACTGTGTCGATTTCGTCAAGAAGACGTCAGAAGTTGATTTCATATTTTTTCAACCATCAAGCGCGTGAGCGAATCGCGTTATGCGCTTGTTACCAGTTTGGCCCTATTTTTAATTAACATTTAAATTCTTTACTGCAGAAATTCAGGGTCTGGGTGCCAGTCTCCTGTTGGACGGCAAGGAGGCGCGCAAATTATCACTTTGACTCCAGCTTGTCTTTCTGGTGGGATAATTCAGCATTTGGTACTCCATTCGCTCGGATTCTTTCATGAACATCAACGGCCGGACCGCGACAAATACGTATATTTCAACGCAAACAGCACGAACGTAACAGGACTGTTTCGCGTACTACCACAGATGCCTTCTTATAAAACTGCGTACGATCTAGAATCAGTCATGCATTTTGGACCATACGATTTCGCCAGCACAAACCAACCTGTTCTACTTCCCAGGAAGAGAAGTAACGTTAAAATGGGACAGAGACGAGGCTTAAGCGTCGCAGATGTGGTTAAGCTGCATGTAGCTTATAACTGCACGATCGGTGAGAAGACTGTGCATGCAGAGCCGTTTCCGGAATTCATTCCCACTGATTTCAGCAATGAACAGTGCGCATTGTTACAACGTTACGCCTGCTTCCACAGCCATTCTGACTGCACTAACAAGCGATTCCTAACCCTAAAATGTGAAAGAAACCCGCGGTTGAGCAGACTACTTCCATTGTTAACGGAAGTCAGAAAATCACTCCATGCTGTGACCTTGGCCTGGTATGATATGGCAGATTTCGATAAAAAAATATTTGCACCAATTCGCCGGCAAGTGATAGTTTTCGTCCTGGCTTTCTGCTCCGCCAGTAATTCCACGACTAGTTTGGTCGAATTTCGCTTCTTCAATCTACTAAAATTAACGTTGGAAAATTGTCAAGATCTGATTGTACGGCAAAAGGACTTCTCGGGACTAAAGAGACTAACAACCGTTTTGTTCCGGCGAAGCACGATTCAGTCACTGGAGTGGAACGCTTTCGCTGGTTTGCCCAGTTTAAGAGTGCTGAGTCTGGAGTTTGGAGTTTCTATGTACGGTAACGGTAGGCAGTGGGGAGAGCAGCCGCAAAGACTGGATGTACGTTATTTGCGATTTATCGAGTATCTCCACTGCCACTGCCAGTTTGCGCAGTTTCGATCATGGATTAAAAGCAATCGAGCGCTGATTGCGGAAACTAAGGATGCTGAAGTTTTCCGCGTCAGAAACGTGCTTGCTAGTTCTGGGTATACGGTTAAAGATCTGTACTTTCCAGCTGACTGTAGTAAAGTGCCCTTTGTTGACAATCCGAATTTTTTTGATTTTTCTCGCACCGAGTTTTCGATTAATCAGCCCGTTTGTCTCTAAACTACATCCGTAAACTGCCATTCAGATTCGCATGCGAATAATATCCGGACAAATTTGCAACTAAGGTTTTTCATGGATGTCAAAATCAGGGGAAATTGTCAGCGGTAACTTGTAATCTTTTGACATCGACGAATATTGACAGCACATCACATTCGATATTCCCCAGTCTTAAATCACTAGTTGTTTTAACCTAAACACTTTTTAATAAATTTGAAGCTTCATACATTCACGGTAGGGCAACAATACTACTGTGCACACTGCTGTATTAAAACTGCAAAAAACAACCAAATTCTCCGCTAACAAGCTTATTCCTTCCTGGCAGAGTGCCCAAATGCTGCGGCGTTTCCCTCCATAATAGCCAAACTTATCCGATGTTTAAGAAATGCCGTGGATTTGCTTTCGCCTGTGTTTCCCTAATCAGACGCCCAAAGAAGCTAACTAATTCCTTAGCAGCTTCTCCCAGAACTCCCATCGTCTCCACAGCAAACGGATAAACAGACACTGATCTCCCAGTGAGCGGTAGCTGTGTCGTTTTACCTTGGTTTTTGCCCAGGTAAGCAGAATAGCCCACCAAAAACGTGTATTTTAAATAGCATTCGGAGCTATTCTTCTTTGCATGGCTCCTGCCGCAGCAGACAAATATTCGCTCATAAATAACAGAAGCAGCAGGGCAATTATTATCTCGGATGTCTGAGCGGGTTTATTCTTCCCCCGCACCAGTATCAAGGTTCAGTCAGACGCATGCAACTGGTTGAGACAATAAGCGCAATTCCATGTACCAGTATCGAAGAACTGCTCTGCAATACGCAGTCAGACGACACAGTCTGGGTACCTCCCCAAAAACATCCACCGATCATGTATGCGCAACTGTTAACCACAACCATTGCAAATTTGTCCGCTTTTTTTGGGAGATTTTGTAAGGCTGCCCATTCGCCGGTAAGTGCATCGTACCGGTAGAGGCTGGTGGATGTAGCGTAATACATCTGCTGGCCACATTTGGCCACTGCTTCGACAGAGGAAGACACCCTGTAAAACGGAAATAAGGCTCGAATGGTCACTGTCTTGATTGTCCGTAAAAGAGAATCTGTTTTTCTGGAATTAGCAGAGCCAAACACTCAACCTGGTAGCACGCCAATTCCGTGGCGCCCGTTTTGCTTCCCGATATTTTGCTTACCGACACATTGCTGACCACCAATTCCCGGTTACACAATTTGGCTGCGAAACTTCTTGCAAAAACTTCTAATTTTCTTTGACCGGCAGCTTGCTTATCCGTCCGGTTTATAGCTTTTTTCGCTTTTACAGCGTTTTTTTTTCGTTTTCTAAAGTTTCTTAGTTTTTTTTTGGATTATTAGGTAATTTTTCTCAGGTTCTGGCGTTATTTTGTGTCTCTATTACCTTACATTTCTTGGGTTCCTAGGTTTTTTAGGTTTCTTAAGGCGTTTTTTTTGCATGAGGATTTTCCAGTTTGTGTCTGTTCTTCTGTTCTCTTATGTTATGATGTTTTCCTTTTACATTCCCTATGTTTCAGAATCTCGTTAGCAAAATGTCGATGTTGTATAAGTAGGCAGTCGATCAATATACTATCGAGCATCGAGTTGTCGTTTTAATAAATTGTCGGGTAGACATTTTATCGGTCAGCAAAAGGTCGCCACTTCCTTCGAGCTGCCATCCTGCCAGTGTCCATATCGATTTCCGTTAAACATGCATATTGGTCCCAGATATAACTCTTGCGGTGGACCGTGATGGATTTTCTTCTAGCAGTCAATCCCAGAACAGGTGGTAGCGCACGCCATGTGCCTGTTCGGATATTCCACAAGTGGAACGCCATTTTGTTAAGATGGAGGGAGTGATCTGCTCTGCATCCGCTTTATGCCATTGCCGCCTAATAACTATGAGCATGCTTGTGACTAAGACTCTTGGAGGGCGGACCACTTTCTCACTGCTTAAACGCTGCGTTAAAGGATCGAAGATTATTAACTGTGAATTCGTCCTTCCATTGGAAAAACATAGCACACCTTGTATTCCTCGTACTTGAGATATGACATTTTTCATTGCTATCCTATTCGCAGCAAGTGTACCCAAGTATTTTTGAATAAGATCGGCTAAATTTGGCGCACTTTTGTCGGTCACAAAGGGCACGTAACCATTGATTATTCTCGAGGCATACTCGAACTGGTTATTGTCTTATTGATAACGCTCTCTACAGTGTTCCCATCTTTAACGAGTAGCTTTTCTTGCACACCACTGGATATTTCGGCCATATCCAGTATTATGCAACCCAAACTCCAAATATCAGTTTTCCGTCCCGGACTCTCTGTCGGTTGCTGGGAAAATTTTCTCAGCATTTCGGGTGACATGAAGCGAATCGTGCCATGTAGATGCGAAATATCTGCCGAACATGTGGTATTGCCTTGCCTGACTTACATTTGCACTAAACCATCCAAGTCACTTTTCAGCAGTTTCTTCCGGCCCCCTTCCAGTACAGTTATAGCCTTATACTTCCTTATTTTCTGGCCTCCGGTCCCCGTGAATGATGCTGTTCTCATGAAGGAAGTCCAGACCTCTTGCTATACACCCCACGAGCTGAGCAGTTCTATTATAACTGTTTAAGAGGTCTGGATTTTGTTTGCGAAGTGGCTATTTTACCCCAGCCTTTGTGGCAAAATAGCTTTTGGCTATTTTGCCCCAGTATGTGGGGCAAAATAGCCTTTTGCTATTTTGCCTCACACTGCGCTCAAATAGTCTTAAGCTATTTTGCCCCAGTATATTTTGCCGAACCCTTTAGCTAATTTGCAGCACGCTGCGTTCGAATAGCTTTTAATCATTTTGTCGCAGTTTCCGGTAAATAAGTTGTACACGTTTTCAAAAGCATTATTTACTTGTAAATGTACATGTATTCACTGCGTAGGACTCAATCATCGCAGTCACTTTGTCTTCTTTCTGCTTAGCAGCTGTCGATGTAAGCGAGAAGGCTTTCGGAATGATTGACTAGACCGCACTGAACTTGTTCGGCTGGGGTACAGCACTTCTGCCAACGAAATTAGAGAAAGCTTCTCATTATATATACGCGAAACCTCCTTTTAATACCGTAATGATCGGTTTCCCTTGAGGATCCTGAGCGATCAGGAGACACCGTTTGTCAATCAGCTGGCCAATGACCTTTACAACGTACTGGAAGTGAAGCGCGTTACTACAAGCGGATATATGCCACAAACCAACGGCTCGTGCGAAAGGTACAATCAGACGCTAGCGCTTATGGTGTCGAAGTTCATAGACGCTGAGCAGCGCACCTGGGACAAGGTGCTGCCGTTTGTGGTGTTCGCGACAAACACCAGCAAGCATGACACCACGAACGATTCGCCATTCAAGTTACTGTACGGAAGGGAGCCGACGCTGCCGGTCGACATCGCCTTTTCGACAGTAGCGGATGCATTCGTGTATGATGTCGGAGAACGGATGGAGGCGCTTCACGCGAAGGCGAATGCGCGCATTGAGGGGAAGCAGAACTACCTCTTCGCTCACGATGATCACCCGGAAGTGACGTACAAAGACGGGGACTACGTTTTGGTTTTCAACCCTGCCGGAAAGCGCGGTAAGGCGACCAAGTTACTGAGTCGTTTTTATGGGCCCTACCGAGTACTCAGGCAAACGTCGCCCGTAAATTACGAAGTGGAAACCTGTGGGATCCGGAAACAAAGGAACGTTTCCGTCACCCACGTGTCAAAGATGAAGCTGTTCAAGGATCGCAACGAGATGTTCGTTGACTCCGAGGATGAAGACGGCGAAAAACGGATTCCTGTCGCGCGTCCCAAGCAACTGGCGGACCACGACGAGGTCCCGGACACGGTAGCGGAAGAGGAGCCGTCCACCTACCTGATGGGCGCCCCTGAAATTGCGGCCCCTGCGGTGACCCCTGTAGTACCACCAGTGCTGTCCCCTGTGATTGACTGAAGTGGTGACAACGGCGGAGGCGGACATGCTCGCGCCGGTGACTCGGGAAAACTCGGAAACGGAATAGTGGCGTTCGGGTCGTGAGCGCAGGGCACCGGACCGGTATGACCCATGCTCATACAAGCACTTTAACGGCTTGCTGCTGTTGGTGTTGTTGTTCATAACCTTAGTCGCAGCACTGGAGGTGGCTGTGTGCGACTGCTCTTCACGACGACATGCCGGTGTCGTCAGGTTCGAGCGATACGAGCAACGCCGGACCAACATGTCGTCCGTCAAGTTCACCCCGGTCAAGTAAGACATCTATACAGAAGATAAAGCCCGGACCGTGTTCAAAGGCTTCAGCTGCCGTGCATGGGAAGAGACCTTTGCACATCGAGGAAGGATTCCTGGGCTGGAGGGACACGACAAAGTCGTCGAAGGAAAAGACGTTGGCATCAGGAGATTGTTGGGTCATGGCTAACACGTTCAAATGCGGCGTGAATTCGATGGTGAAGCGTGGTAGTGTCTGGTCTTTTACAGCGGAACCAAAGAGCGAAGGAGCCTGGTACTCTACGAAGACGTACACTACGTACAACTGTGAACTGGAGGAGTTGACTCTGGAGCAGGAATGCAAAACGTGCCCGATTATGAGTATCGTCGAAGAGGTAGCGACGGATCGAACCGTGGGCTACGCGATTCTGGCACACCGGACCGTGGTATGGAACGACATTTCGCAAACGCAGAGACCGTGCGAGACGGCTCAGCTGACCAGGCGAGTCGGTCAATTGTATAACGATACAAACGGTGTGATGAGAATCCGCGATACTGCGCGGCAAATGGATTTTGTTCTAGGCGCAATGGCGCGCTTGTGCAAACAGACCGGAACGAAGGCATTCCGTGTTGTCGGTGAAACAAGTATGCTGCTGGTGGTGCTGACGCGTGCGGAGAAGATCCTGTTCCAGGATTTCAACTACACCGCCGGAGAAAGTGTCGCTGGAGGGGGAGGCAAAGATTCGGCATTTAGAGGCAAAAGAAACTTGCTGGGATTCGCGGGTGGGACACACCCCGGGTTTCCGTCGGGATCATCGCGCACCATAATGTCGTTTCCCGTGACAGTGGCTACAACAACTGTCGGAAGAAAGACGCTGAATGCGGAAGGCGCAACCAATGAACCCCCGATGACGCTACAACAATACCTACCTGAGCATCTACAGTGGATCATGGACTCTGTGGTGGAGCAGGAGAACCACATTGCGGAAGCTGTTAACGCCGTCGATTGTCGGTTAAGTAGACTTAAAATCTAAAATCTTCATTCACTTTCGAAAGTTGGCGCGATTTTGGCTGCGCGTGCTATGCACTTTACAGAGTGTCAGAGTTTGGAGAGCTTCGGGACCATGGGAATTTTACGGCAGTGCCGACCGTTCAACTTGACGTTCGAAGCGCAGAACACCGTCTACTGCGGCGTACAACCGCGACCGGGAAACTTTACGATTTCTCGCGACGGATTCACGGCGATTAAGTGGCAAGAGTGCTACTGGCAGTCGCATACGGTGAACTTCCGTGGGATTCCTCACGTTTGGAGAGACGGAGATTGGCGACCAGTGCAGCCGGTGCAGTATGCTGACCGACAGCTGTTGCTCGCGCTTTTCCATCAGACCGTTGACCTTTCTGGGGCCTTGCTGGAAGCAGCCGCCGAGAAGGAACATGCGATGACGTTTCAGCTGCTGGGCCAGTTAGCCGGGGCAATGGAACATAACGGAGTAGAGAACGTTGAATCGTTCGTCCAGAACGTGCAGCAGTCAGCGAGTGTACCTGACCTAATGTCTAAGATACGTTGGTTCAAAACGATGTTTGGGTCGATCACTACGGTGGTAGTGCTAGTGCTGATTGTGCTGGTGATATTTCAGTGTCGTGGACCGATAGCTGGATGCGGGAAGCGGATTGTGAATCGCTTGGCCGAACGGAGACATGGACGTTCGACTGTGGTAGCGGAACCGGTGACTTACGTCAGCGCTCCTGAGGATCCGGGATATGAAGCGATTAACCCACCGGACAAGGAGGAGGGACGGATTTTCATCCCGCTGCACCGTACGAATAACCGGACTTGATGTCTTGAGGGACCTGCGACGTCTGGGAAGGGGGCAATGTTACATAACTAGCTTAGTCATGTAATGATGTTAACCTATGGTCATATATGTTTTCTCCTATGGTCATGCACCTATGGTCATAGTCCATGTTTTTGCCTTTCTCATGCCCTTGTGAGCCAGATGTACTGACAATGCGTGATTGTCTGATATAGGTCGATTCCCTTGATGTCCTGTTATTTCCGGCTTAGGTCGTTATATAAGCCTATGTTTACTTGTTATTTGTTAGTTCTTAGCTGAGTATTATTAAAGAGGCTAAAACCCGATATTCATATACGCCTACGGATAGTGGAGGTGTTACAATTTTAATTAGTGTAATCCTGTGAAAGCATACCGATATGTGCATTGGCTGTTGCCTATTAAAATAGTTTTAGACATGACGGCTGATTGTATGAAACTATTGATTTCGATTAAATTTGAACACCTGCTGACCAATATATCAAAACGTATAAGACCATGAAATAATCGAATTATGCGAGTAATCTAAACAAAAGGGGATGTCAGTAGCGCACCTAGATAATCCCCTGTATTGCTGCCGTCACCCGCCTGGAGTGTGGCGTACGGCAGTACATATGGCTAAATCTGGCTCGATATATATAAGCACCATGTACAAGCCCGTCCGGAGTTAGAGCACGAAAGAGAACAGCTAACGCATAATAAGCGCGATGTTAGCGCTTAGCACGCTGGCCACTACACTACGTCTACCACGATGCGTAAATGCGCTCCGCAGTTAGATTGTCCCTTACTACACCGACTGTTTTTTAGCCACCTTCCGCCAGGCAATTACGATTATACTCATTAAAATATATGGCGTGCACCAAGCCCCCAGCCAGCCAAAAGCATGTTACGTGTTTAAAGAGTGGGGCGTGTCGTGGTGTAGTATGCTGTTTGGCGTAACCCATGAATTTACATTGTTCGCTGTTCTCTATCGTGCTCTAACTCCGGACCGGCCTGTATAGCCACAACGTCATGCTCCAGCCGGCTGACTGCAGCAAGTACAGGGATTTTCTAAGCGAGCTACTGACATCCCCTCGTATGCCATACCTATGTACGGCTAATGCACTGCACTTGTAGAACAGACAACAGTCATCCGCTTTTTTCACAGAAAAGACGCGGCATTCGACTGTGGAACCGGTATTTCTATCTGTGCGGTGGGTATCCCGTGAAGGGCCGCAACCGCGACATCCTGGCCTCCGTCGAAGCGTACGACGCCGCCACTGACCAGTGGCGAAATCTGCCGGTGATGTCGCAATCACGCTGCAGCTTCGCCGCCAAAATCCTCAACGGCTACCTGTACGTGACAGGCGGTGTGGGCGCGGTTTCGGCGGCGGGAACGATCGTTCTCGGCAGCTGTGAGCGGCTGCAGTTGGGCGTAGCTGGCGCCCAATGGCAGTTTGTGGCCGGCCTAGGATTTCCGCGCTACGGACACTGTATGTTCGTCTTGCATGGCAAGCTGTACGTCTGCGGAGGGTGCAACCGCGACGGGATGTCGCTGACCGCGATGGAGGAGTACGATCCGGCGCTGAATCTGTGGAGTGCTGTGCGACCGGCCGAGCGACCCGGGGTCCGGTATGCCCCGGTGTCGGCTTGTGCGACGCTCACGTTTTCTTATAAAATGTTGCGTTAATGAAGGACATTTTACGGTTTTTATTGTTTCTGTTACTTTTGATTAGTGCATTGTTCTGTTTTATGTTATCAAATTTGTTGTGTAACTGTTTTTGCAGGACATTGTCTAGATAGTTTCGCGCAGTTGGACAGTGGGGATATGTGAGTGTATATGTCTCAAAATGATGGACTGTAATCATACATTTTAAAACTTATACAACCATTGTTATTTTCAATCAAAAATCGTATGACCAATACGGAAGGAATGCATCGAGGAACTTTGTTCGATCAAATAAATGGACGTAGGAAAAACACTGCGAGCGAAAATTTGGGTTGTGATTCTGTTGGTGATTACCTGTCTTTACTTGCGCCTAACCGTATTTTGGATACGCGCCACTGTAGAGCGTAGCGACGAGTATATTGATTGACCTTTGAGGACGATTTCCGTACAGGATGCATGTGATAATCCTTAAGACTAGGAAAATGCACTTTTGCGTGCATTGGCAAATCTGAGCGAGCCGTGAAGGGTTGCATTTATTGCATTATTCGTTTATGAATGTGCACTTTTTATCACCGCACCAGTGTGAATACGTTTAACGGCCACCACCTGAAAAAAGTGTACCTTTCTTCAGTGAAATGATGTCTTTTCCGTCTTTGTTCCGATGGAAGGCATGTGAGACAAAAAAAAGGTTGCATATGTCACCAGAAGAAAGGTATTCAGTATTCACGTGGCCATCACTGTGACACAATGGAAAAATGGGCCGGTACATAGCGCCAAAAATGGGATAAGTACACTAAAACTTTCGCTTTCGCGCACTCCGAATCACTCTTTCGTAATACTTTATATCATTTTAAAGCTAAATGATTTGTAAGCATTGTTTTGAAAACCGTATGCGCGCGCAACATCCGGTAGCAGTTGCCGCACCCCGTCTTTGAACTGGTGCTTAGTGTATAGATACCTCAAACCCCAGATCATCTTGGTGAAAAAGTGACCAGGCATGAGTTTGTTGCGCTGACGCTCCTCCCGCTGTGGCAGCAGCCGAATCTGTTCGACGGGCAGCAATTCCCGGACCTGATACCCCGCCAGCACCACTTCAACCACTGCGTGAGAATGCCCCATTACATCGGGGCACGCGATGACGGTACCGGGATACCATTTTTAGGGATGACTGGGGTGCCCGCGCAGTACCTCCAAGGCCGGTGCGGGGGTGTTTTGCGCCACCACTTGCGCGGATACTTAATCTCTTCCACGTGTCCCGAGCAGTCGTAGACCTTGCCGTATTCCATCAGCATCGGTTCCTGTCCGGCGCATTCGAAGTCGACCAGGAGACGCTGCGGAGCCTGCTCAGTTTAAACCTCGTCGAGGCCGAGAACATGCAGCAGCAGCCCATCATCCCTCTCCACATCCACAGCATTGGACGCGTAAGGTGATCGTCGTAGTATTCCGTAGACTCCAGACTCTCCAGTCACTCCATACATTGTATGGATTCTTGTAATTTGGGTCACGTGGGTGCACACTCAATTTTACTGCAAACGTTTAGGGAAAATACATATGCAAGTGCATGGCTGTGCATCACAGCTACAAGTCCACGGTTTTCAAATGGTCTTCGTAAGAGTACGAGTACGGTGGCGTGCTCATTTATGGCGTGATACCTCTTATCAGCTGTTTAAATTCCGTCTTGATTAAAAAGCAAACTGATTATCTTATTCGCCAGTATGCACTACAAGATAACATTTTACAAGCATTTTCTGTACTTGTTCCTGTTTGTCTAGAGATTGCTAATAATTACTCGTATATACGTACATAGTAGTAGTAGGGGTATTATTACTTTTAGGTGACCACCCCGTTTCCAAACTTTCACAACCCTTCACTCGGTTCACAACCTTCTCGACAAACGCTCGCTGCGTGGGCTACTTTGTATACTGTTCACTCCGTCTTCACCCTTTTCATTTTCTTGCTTTAAAGTTTATAACGTTCTTTTATAAGCAAAAGTGGGAGAAAACTCTGCGCTTAGTTCCCGCACCATAATCTTGCAAAGTGCAAAAGATAAAATAACAATACCGTTACACAGTATATACACTCGGTCTCGTATCAAAGCGTTGTAATCCGGAAAAGCTCTTGTTTTTTATATCCCTTTCCCAAACTGGACCTTAATGGATGAACCGACTCCCGGCTATTCATCCAACTAATCACACAACGTCGTGGATTTAGCTGCGGCATGGTAAATGTACGGTCAGCAAGCAAAGTAAAAGTACTGCTTTTTGTAATTTAAAATTAATTATGATTAATATTTATTATGACGATGGGTTAGGGTATTGAGGAACACTGCGGGCAAGCATATTCCAGCAATAATATGGATTACCACAGGGGTATTCAAATAAATCTGAATAATCTTATCTGTCAGTTCCTGTCAATTTTCTGACATAACTCTGACTAGTTGTCTCACATGCCGAATCACATGCAAGCGCAAATAGAACGGCAGTATAGCCCATGGGGCTTGTTGTTAAAGCTGGCGTGTAGTGCTTAAGGGGTTGCACACACGTATTCCGAGTTTTTTGGCACTTCAACATCTCTTCGGTATTTTTAGAGTTGCCGCTACCCAGCTTGTCCTAAACGAGTTGAGCATCTGTTTTCTAAATTATCCATATAAACAATGGTTATTTACTCGTAATGAGCAGAAATCGGATTTGCTCTCCTAAGTGTTTCAGCTTCATTCATAACACCTATTTGACGCTGTCAATTTTTTAAAACAAAGAACATCCAATTCTACGACGAACAACAGTATACACTAATTGGCCTAAGTGGTAAGTCAGAACAAATCTTTCAGTCGTGCACTCGTGCACATTTTTGCTTCTTATGGAATACTTATTTTTTTTTTACAGCACTATGCCTTGTATGCAGCCTCCTTTTGTCAAGTACTAGGACGTAAACAAATGATGGAAGCAGTCAAATTGGTGAAAATAGAGTTTCTTTACGGAAAGGTGAGCAACATGATCGAAAACTGTTCAAGAGACGGGTACAAAAGCTTCTTTCAATGGAGGGAGCGGAAAATTTGTCGCAATGTTTTTCTCTTGGGTGCGAATTTTCTGATTCCCAGTAGAAAACCGCCGAGACTCGCCACTGAAGATCAGTCTCCTCTCCGTCGTCTGCTGACAACACCATGGGTGCATCACTGCTGGTTTCAAATTCAAATCACTGCTGGTATTGATGCAGAAAACGATTCTGATCCACTGCTTCTCAATTTGCATTTTGTGGGCGTTGCCACTGAGTACAGCCACTGCGTGCGGTTGTGACGACTTATCTTTGCTTCGAATGCAACACGCGAGCAAACGTTTAAGCAGAAATGTATTGTTTTCGGCAGGGATACTGTCAGACTGTTTTGCCACGGCCAGATGTACCGTAATTATTGAATTAGAGCCCCAAGGTTACAAATATTTCAAATGACCCACGGGGTGGGCTCCAGGCCTGGGCTTGTATTTAGGGGGGCGGGGGCTTCAGTTTTTCAAACCAACTTTTTGGCATTTCTTAATATTGGCTTTACGGTATTTAATGAAGCCCATAGGCCTCAATTTCGGGAGGGGGGAGGCTTATAACTTTCAAATGACCTTAAGGATGGGCTCTAATTACGGGGGACTTGTATTGGGGGGGGGGCTTCAAATTTGATAATTACGGTACTTACTTATTAGTCATAATATGTAGGAGCGTAGGCCGTAGGCGGTACTAGAAAACTTCAGAATTTCAAATCACTCAGCCAGTTAATTCTCTAGATTAGAACTGTCAGTAAGACTGTAACCTATGTGTTATTTTTCCAGTTAATGCGTAACGTGCGGCGTTCGCTGTCGGAATGGCACTTTAAAGGGATCCCATCAGAGCAATTGGTCGAAGAAAGGCTGGTGATCTTGCATCGTCATGGAACAGCGGTATACGAACACGTCGCCGGTGCTATTGTTAAGGAACTAAAACAGGCAAGGCAAACCGTTACTTCGTCAAATAAACGCCCCCTCCTCCCTCCCAAAATTAATCGCACCGGGGCGATTCTTAATTTTTATAGTTAAGTCTACGTTAGTTTTTTCATACTCTAATTTCTATAGTGTCTACGTCTTCAGGTTTCCAAGACTAACTTGCAAAATTCGGGAAATGTATTTCTTGCTGCACTCCGCGATATGTGGCGCCTTTTCAAAGATTTCGTATCGACATTTTGCCAATTTTGCCTCACGGTTCTCCTAGATAAGGTTGGGATGCTTCTCTAAATGCCAACTTAGCATATCTAATTTTCGTGTTATGTCTCATTTAAGACACTGAAGATATTTTAATATTCTTTTTTAAAGATATATTCGTTCGGAATCGTGGAACTGGTTCAAATCCAGGGTCAAGTTTTTGTCCAAAATAACTTGGATAATTTTCACGCTTTGGGTCTGAGGATCTTTCGAGACAATGTTATTTACCATCATGGAATACGAGAGAAATTACGAGTGGTAATGTTGAACAGCAACCGATGGGTTCGGACACTTGACGCATACCTGCTTCGTAAGTCCTACCAAATTCTCACGGAACTTGGAGGAATAGAGGTTTATCAGACAATCTGCGGAAGTCCGTGCTTACGCCACTATGGCAAGCTTTTGGTGAGAAAAAAGCATCAAAAGGTTTCAATGACTCATCGACCACACTTCCGTTGATAAGTGAACAGACTGCCGAAATTGTTAGCAATCTCTGACTGTAGCCCGCTTTCAATACTAACACAAATTTTTTCAGAGTAAAGTAAAGCAAGCCTTGATGCAAAACAAACGCAAGGAAATTTTGCATTCCTCGAGAACTAGTCCATTGGCCAAAAAAACGCCAAAACGCAGAGCCCAGAGCACACCACCGAGAGTTAATTTATTTGGTCATACGTGCTATTATAACTACAACAACTGCGATTATCGAGGAGCAGGAACGTTTGGTGCGGTGTTCGAAGTTGGTGCAGTCGTTGGTGGTACAAAAAGACGAGTTGCTGTAAAGGTCATGCCTATGCAGAACGAATCAGATCTTGTAAACAACACAGAAAAATGGAACAGCTGGTGCCAACGTCTCAGAACAATTACAGCACTGATTCATCCCCACGTCGTCAGGTATCACGGTGTAATCGCAGACTGCCAGAGTGCCCGTATCGAAATTGTGATGGATTACTGTGGTGAGTGATAAACATTATTGTGTACATATTTGGCGGTTTAGCATTGACAAGTAGTATTAGCTTCTCTAACGCTCGCCTACGTAAACAACGAAATTGGTGCAAGTACTACTAATGAAGTAGTTCCATGTTCCAGTTCAAACACTGTTTATTCAAATATATTTTACTTTGTCACCTTTAGTTTACGGTATCGCTTTGCACTTTTGCTAATAACTGAAGGAAGGTATTTGTGTGCCCGGTGATTTATTGTCATGTTGTAGGCGCAGTTTCAAACAAGAGAGTAGGAGGATTAATGTGAAATATAACTACTGCGTTCTTTCGTAGTTGGAGATCTCTCGCATTATTTGCATCTTGCCGGGAGAAATGAAACGGTAATCGACATCCACACAGCTATGCGTTATGCGAGCGAAATCGCTGATGGACTGCAGTTTCTTCACTACAACGGAATTATACATGGAGATTTGAAGCCAGGAAACATTCTGGCACGTCATAATGGAGCGCAAATTGAGATGATTCTCGGTGACCTAGACGACAGTGTTCAGTTGCGTTGCTTCATGTCCGGTACCGACGACCTGTCACATATTCATGGCACTATCCGCTACATGGCACCGGAAATTTTAAAAAAGTTCATTGCACAAATCGAGAGCGAAATCCCTGGGCGGAAATCTGACATGTGGAGTTATGGCTGTGTACTACTGGATCTGGCTAACTGTGTGACCAAGCTGGAGAAGAAATGGCTTTGCAAAGCATCCAAAATAATCGAAGTCGGGAAAGAAATGACGGACATGCAGTTTGTTATTCTCATTGCCAAAAAAAACTTCGTTCCGCACGTCGATGGCTCTATTCCGTGCGCTCTGAAACAGCGCATTCGCCGCTGCTTATGCAGCTCAAAACACGCGAGAATTTCGTCCGAGGAGATGTTGCAGTCCTTAAAAGAATGGCGTGACAGAAACTAATCAGCGTGCAGACTTTGAAGCCGTCTTTGTTCAGTTTTGCGTTTTTCCAGTTCAAATTTACGCTCATCGCTCTTCACAGCGCCAGCAGCTTAACTTTGGAGACTTCTTTTGCTCGGGCCAGTGATGATCTACACACACGTGACAAGACACACATCAATAATTTCAATGAGTGTTTCTAGCTGCATGTTTTTCCATTGTTGATATAGTGAATGTTTGTTAACTGAAGCAAATGTTCAAGCGAACATAAGGCTGTTTATTACAGTAGTAACAAAATTACAGCAAAGCTGCTAAGGAAAACAACACTGGTCACTGATCGTTCCCGATCAGCCAGTGTAAAATCTAAAAAGACGTCATCGTTGTCGCACATGTCATTAAATGTTCCGATGACCGACACAGCACTTCCGCGTTGTATCTCAATGCTGAATCTCTGACGCAAAAGCTATCCCGACCGAGTGCCACTACACTCGCAAATCTTCCTTGACAAATCTTTAAAACATTTCTTTGTTAGCGGTCCAAACGTTCCCGTAGTTGCAAAAGCCAGAGGTTGTACTACGTATCGATTCACGAGTCCGTCGTACTTCCATAACTTTGAGTCTCTATTAGTGAGTGTTATCACTAACTGTAATCGTCTAGGCTATTTCGCAAATGGTGGTAAATATAGGTTGATAATATACAGAATTTTTGTTAGGTGAAGTCTTAAATTTCTCACTTTTTTTTCACAAAAGAGAAATTAAAACATCAGTGAAAGCGAGAGCTTTCTGGAGCTTAAGCTTTTATCTGCCAGTCATAGTGATAGTTTTCTGCGGCGAGCGCCCTTTGCAACACAAATCAACCATATCCATCCGATTCCGTCTTACATATATACGAGGGGATATCAGTGACTCATCTAGATATCCCTGTATTTGCTGCCGTCAGCCGGCTGGAGTATGGCGTTGTGGCTTACATACGGTGCCAGTCTACTGCCAGATTGTACCGCGCCAGATTTAGCCATATGTACTAGTACTTACTAACTTTAATTTTGCAGCATTGCAAACTTACTCTGAAATATGTACTTACTTGGCTTTTGTGGTCAGGAATGACACAGGGAGTGGCTTAAAAATTTATCAGAAATCCAGCAGCTTTGAATATTATCGCAATGCGCGAAGAGTCCCAATACATTAGTAGTAGGCTAGTAACTGCTAGCAACCCTAATCGGTTACCGATAAAGCTGAACCGCGAAAGTACTGTTTACGCGCGGTGTGCATAAATAGACGACATTCGAATTTCGCCGCACCGTACAAAAGCAAATTTGGAAAAAATTTTCCAGTTCAGCCAAGATTAATCGCTTAGCAATTAATCGCTAAGCTTCGTCGAGAAACGTAGCCGGCGTGTTGTACGACTTATGTTGTCGTATCCAGTGCCACGTTTCGTATTCTGATTGTTACCCCGACATGGCTGTTATTCTACGGTACACTGGTCGGGATGGTCCTAGGCATCGATAAGTTGCCTGGGGCCACCCTGACCAGTGTATAATCGTTTGCATCCCTGGTCTTTCCTCCACTTTCTTGCCCCATCGGCCAGCACGATGCAGGGTGCGTAAAGACCTAAATGTGCTAATGGACAATAGGGATCTTTTAAAAGGCAGTTTAAACTCTACAAAGTTTCACCAGTTACAGCCGTCACGAAGAGGCGCGAAGCGTTGATGCCGCCTAATTTCAAAGCGGATGGTAAATTCGTCACACACTGTACAATTCCCTGCTAGCCAAGTTCACCATCGTCAGCAATTGCGAGTTTGTGATTATCGACGAATTTCTTACCACCATATTTCACATACCAGGACGTATGCTACATTATGCGGAAAGCACATTATACCATATATCCTGATATGTGATAAGGAAGTTAAGGTGAGATACAGTATTTATGTATCTGTCCAATGCTTTAATACCCTGACGCAGCGCCCTGTATTTCCTTGACGCTCCAGTTACAGATCCTCTCAGTGCCCTACGGATTTCCCGAAAAACGGCTCTGGCGGCCAGAGCCACTATTTGGGAAATACGTAGGGCAGTCTGGCCAAAGCCCCCAGAAAACCGGTTGTGAAAAGAAGAACTCCATGGTGCAAGCGCGTCTCGTAATGGCAATATGCCAGGCGGAATCCGATAAGCAAACTGCGACTGTGGACAACCTCTGTTCATCTCTCGCGATGAAGGCAGCTTGGCAGGCGGGAATGTCGTTCGTCAGTATTGAGCAACAGGAACGCCGATTTGCACGCAAGACCATGCATCGCAAAGGTATCTAGCGCGAAGCTGCGATGTGAACGATTCTTACTACCCAAAGTATACCACAATAACAAATTTACCTGTGTTGAAAGTTACGACACGCGAAAGATATTACGGGGCAAGCTAGTGTAAATAGTAAAACAGTAGAAATACCTCTCACGCCGCAGGTTTGTGCTTCACCGAAGTTCGTAGGCAAACAGAGTAAAATCAAGCGTTGCTCGGTGCAAGAGTGTAATTGGAGATACTGCACGTACGCAAGTGCTTAATCCCCAGAGAACATTTACCGGAGAGGACACGCTGCAGATACTGATATCGGGGCTTCTGTACAAAGTTAACTTTGCAACTTATCCGATCTGACAAGTTGCATCAGAGAGAGTTTAGTTAAAGCGGTACCAGCTCCCATCTCGGGGATCGATATGTAACTTGTGCATGCCCAGCTAAAAGAAAACAGCGGTTCTGAAAAAGTGGCAACTGTCCGGGCGGGTGCACTAACTTATTTGTCTAACAGCATTAAAATTTCAAGTCCCGATGTCCTCGTTTTGCCAACAACATGCAAATATAAAATTAATGACCTTTACAAATGACAACATTTCTTACTCGGCATTCCTTTTCTTATAATTACATATGTACATATGTAAGCTCAGGTGCTTGCTTGCACTTTAAAAATCCAGCACAAAGGCTTTGCTCTTCTGCGTTCGCAAAAAATCGTTTACCTGCAAGAGGAAAGGAAACATGCAGGCTCTGGGTTAATCTTATTTAACGTTCGAGCGTAAAATCTTATTAAAGTTGACTGAAGTGCATGAACTTCATGACAGTGGGACAGTGGAATCAGCCAGTGAAAAAAACCACACCTTTGCGGCATAAAACGGCGAAATGGATCGTCGGAAGAATCCGATGATCAACAGTTCAAGACTGATTTCGCTGATGCTGTGGTTCCAGACTAGACTATTCTGCGTATGCGACAGCCGGCATGCCGGTGACCATTTCGGTCAGCAAACGATGGCAGTTAAAACGATGGCAATGTTTCAGAATGTACACTGTAAACAAAGTTCAGTAACGGACGCTGTGTAAACAAGGAGCAAAAAGATAAGAGCGATGATCCTGGTTGAAATTCCCCGAGCACCGAACGTACTACGTAAATACCGGTCTCATAACAGGAAACGGCCTCGGTGCTGTAAAATTAATCAACTGATACACTGTACATGCCGCTTCCGTTGCGCGTCGACAATTGTTGAGAAGCTCAGCACCGGAGGAGACAGACGGCTATCAAATTCTATCGTGGCGCACCACAAGCGTTTACGCAAAAACAAAAGTTTCATTTACTATTTTCTAATGTTCGGCGACAGCCACTCGGTTAACAGTAAAACAGACACCATCTCAATACTTACAATTGTTAGTCTGATTGTAAACATGGGATCTAAGTAATCAATTTCGGTTTTGCTCTGATAAATTCACAGCATTCAATATGGCAGCACCTTTTCTTTAATTAGAATCAACCCGAAACGCTGGTTAATCAAAGGATTCGAAAGCGTTGTGAATAATAGTTAAGCTGCTTTGATTTTGGTTTGCCATGCCTAGGTGAGCTTTTGACGTCAACGTACCGGTTTTCTGAAAAAACCGTGACCACAAACGATGCTGGCTTGTCCATCCCATTCTCGCGGCCAGCTGGTTTCTTGGTCTGGTTCCTTATGTTCGACAAAAGAAACTTTGGTGTGAGGTTGCATCGTTGCACCGAAATGCAGATTCGTCGACCAGTGGGGATAACGAAATGAAAGAAAAATAATAAGAGAGTATGACTGCGACAACATATCCACGCAGCTCCCTTCAGCATTTGCAGACTGTAGTTGACAATTTGTGTACAGGAAAGAAGTGGCATTTGACATGTGAGCCGGTACTTTTACCTTTGTGATGGCTGTCCCGTGAAGGGCCGCAAGTGCGCCATCCAGGCCACCGGCGAAATGTACGACGCCGCCACAAACCAGTGGCGATATCTGCCGGCAATGTCCAGGTCACGCTTCAGCTTCGCCGCCAAAGTCTTCAACGGTCACCTATACGTGACGGGCGGCATTTGAGAGGCCCCGGCGGCAGGACTAGTCGTCCTTCGCACCTGCGAGCGTCGACATCTGGGCGTGGCCGGGTGCCGAATGGCAGTAGGTGGCCGACCTCACCTTTCCTTGCTACCGACACGCTATGTTCGTCCTGCATGACAAACTATACGCCTGCGGAGGGCGCAACCGCGACGGGATGCCGCTGTCCGGGATGGAGGAGTACGATCCGACGGTGAATCTGTGGAGTGCTGTGCGACCGGCCGAACGATCCGGGGATCGGTACGCGCCGGAATCGGCCTGCGTGACACACACTGTTCCCTTAAAAGCGCTCCGTTTTTAACCGGCATTTTACGTATTTTGTTGTTTCGAGTTTCGATAACGCGCGTTGTTCCATTTTATGCTTATTTAATTTGTTGTGTACGTGTTTTCGCCGTACGTTGTGTGTTATTTGATAGTTATTTTTTGTGTTTTGTTCGTTATTTCATGTTATTTTGATAGTTGCGCACAGTGGGCATTGTGAAAGTTGGATTATTCTTACATGCTTATCCGGTTAACTTCCAACGTAAACGATGTCAATTAAGCTGCTTCTTATATTTCACCAACCACCTAAACGTCTGCTCTGCAGACTGCAGCCATGGTGTTAATACACAAATCTGGCTCCCCTTTCGCTTTAAGAGCTTTGGAATCATTCAACTGGCGGCATGCCGGATTTTTATGGTTGGCTATGTGTGGGCCGTCTATCACCTTACGCACATCTTTCCACATCCAGCAGTACGGCTCCGGAAGTGGCAGCGGTTCTTTGCTTGCCTTCAGGCGATTAAGCTGGCACATATTGCCGTATGCAACAACAAATCGCCCCCACTCTGTTTGTGGAATCTCCTGCAAGCGTTGATACAGCCAGACCACAAAAATCAAGTAAACCTGACCAAGGCTTTCAGCTCTAG